AGGAGTTTTTCTTTTTTACATTTCGGGTAGACCGGAAGATATAGATGGATTTTGGATTTTGGTCAATTTAATAAAAATTTAGTACGTTGTTACTTTTTTCTGTGCAAATGCGACTTTTTACCCTTCAAACGATCATAACTTCCTTCAAAGTCATTCATTTGGGAAGCTGAACACGGTATAATAAACTACAGGATTCAAGCTTTCTAACGAGCACCCAAGCGTTCCTGAAAGATCAGTAGTTCAAAAATTAGTCCCGTTGTTACTTTTTTGGGGGTTTGCGTTACTATTTTTTGGAACCGCGACTTTTTTACCTTCAAACGATCATAACTTCCTTCAAAGTCATTCATTTGGGAAGCTGAACACGGTATAATAAACTACAGGATTCAAGCTTTCTAACGAGCACCCAAACGTTCCTGAAAGTCAGCAGTTCAAAAATTAGTCCCGTTGTTACTTTTTTTGAGGGGTATTCTTCAAGCCATTTTCCCGAAAACGCGGGTTTTCTTAGGTTTCACTGCCCGTAACTTCTTGGAAGACCAATGTCATGTTTAACTTAGGATGTGCTAGAAAGCTTCGAGCATGCGCTTGCACTACATCCCTTGCCTTGGTGCGCGCCACGCCTCGGGCGCCCTTCTAATTCGCTGATTCATTTGAAAGCTCATTTAGAGGGAAGCGTGGTTTATAGATGCTCTAGTATCAGTCATCTTACGAAAACGTAACGTGCTGGCTATTATCCGATATTACCAAGAATCCCACTGTCGGCCACCGAGAGGGTACGACCCCCCCCCCTCCAAGCTCAACTGAGTACGACCCCCCCGTTGTTACTCGTAACAACGTAGGGTTGACCCTGAGAGGGGGTCGTTGTGATATGGGGAAGAGGGAGTCCATTCTCGGCGTTGAGCGAGGCTAATGATCTTTGGGGAAGTGCGAACGGCGGTCGAAAAAGGGGTGACTATTGAGACGAGTTTTTTGATGAGCTTGTCGATCCTACGAAAGTTGTGTGAAGTAGACAAAATAGAAAAAAATTGAAGTTATAAGTGGGCGGGGTTAGGTGTGTCTACTGGTCCGAAAGCAAACA